TCTGCTACATGGTTACTGACGATACCTCCGCACACATTTAGCGAACATCTTGTTTGAGTATTTGACTGTTACTATATGGTATGAATGACTTGTTGAATAGTAATGAAAGTTATGCCTATTACTAGAACCGTTTCGATTGAATTGATCGATTGATCAAAAAAATCTCTGCTGATTAATTTTTTCCAAGGCCCATTCGCTAAGCACTATTCGTTTCTGAAAATCATCATTATTTAATTCTTGGTATATTTGAATAAGGTAAGGGTGGATTTTATTTGTAGAAAGAATTTTTTGAATAGAATAGTTACTACGTCCTTGTTTTTTGGAAATATTCCTTATACTTGTGTGCGGGTTTTCGGTAACTGCCATCTAGACATTAATTTCATTTTCTCATTTCTGACATTCTCAGACAGACTAGTTTCTTAATATTGTTCCGAACCTATTTTCTTATGGCATCTTAACCCATTAGTGCTCAGATCTAAAAAAGCTTGGAAGTTCTTAATTTTCTTATAGATTTTATTACAAGCAGTGTTGCATATTTACTAAAAAATATAAAAAAATCAAGGTCAGTCAAGTTTGTCAAAATGAGCGGCAATTTAGTTGCCACGGAGCGCTGACGTTTTAGTAATAATAACAAAATTTCTATGTAATAAAAATGTATTAAGAACTAATCGTGCTTTAAGAGATACATAGTACGAAAATTATTTATGGAAAGTTTCGAATCAAGTCACATATAAGTAGGGACACATTACATTTGTTTCACATGTTGTTCTTCTTTGGCACATTTTGCATCGGCGGCACTTTGTGTCTCCTTTAACGATAAGTTGGATGTTGAAACGATAGACGCGAGCCCGAGTTTAGCTGGAGAAAATCCATATTTTGTAAGAAGCTGTAATACTACTTGTCCTCTAAATTGCAGGTGTGATAATTCGTGACCTAAAATCCCATATTGAAGCCAACCTTGAACACAACATTCATCCACAGACCAAGAATAGAGCAACCACCACCATTTTTTACTGCGAATTTTGCATCTATATTGAGCAGTGAACTGATCATTTACGTCAACACCTGCCATATTAGAATTATAGTGTGAAATGGCAACAGGCATTTTAATCATCTTCTTTTTTTTTTCACGTTTACTAAACCGCTGAACATTTTTAAACGGGACTTCTCTGTGACAATTTGACAATACTGTTACAATAGCATTGCTATTCCATCTAATATCTAATAACACCGGAGGGACCGCAGACGTTCGGATACAATTAGCGTCTCTTAGCAAAGACAATGACGTCGACTTTGCTAAGTATCAAGACAATTACTCTACACACACACACACACACACACACACACACACACACACACACACACACACACCACACACACACACACACACACACACACACACCACACACACACACACACACACACACACACACACACACACACACACACACACACACACACCACACACACACACACACACACACACACACACACACACACACACACCACACACACACACACACACACACACACACACACACACACACACACACACACACACACACACACACACACACACACACACACACACACACACAACACACACACACACACACACACACACACACACACACACACACCACACACACACACCACACACACACACACACACACACACAACACACACACACACACACACACACACACACACACACACACACACACACACACACACACACACACACACCACACACACACACACACACACACACACACACACACACACACACACACACACCACACACACACACACACACACACACACACACACACACACACACACACACACACACACACACACACACACACACACACACACACACACACACACACACACACACACACACACACACACACACACACACACACACACACACACACACACACACACACACACACACAACACACACACACACACACACACACACACACACACACACACACACACACACACACACACACACACACACACACACACACACACACACACACACACACACACACACACACACACACACACACACACACACACCACACACACACACACACACACACACACACACACACACACACACACACACACACACACACACACACACACACACACACAACACACACACACACACACACACACACACACACACACACACACACACACACACACACACACACACACACACACACACACACACACACACACACACACACACACACACACACACACACACACACACACACACACACCACACACACACACACACACACACACACACACACACACCACACACACACACACACACACACACACACACACACACACACACACACACACACACACACACACACACACACACACACACACACACACACACACACACACACACACACACACACCACACACACACACACACACCACACACTACACCTCAAATTGGAAGATTGGCGAATGGATTTAGTGTCCGCAGTCATTTAAACACAAACAAACAACAACAATATCTAATAATACAGTGCGTCAATTTGAAATGGTACCACCCTCTATAGTTTGGTCCCTATAGAAAATCTAAAAATTTGCAAAAACACGTCAAATTCATTTGTAAGGGGGACATGTTGTAAACCAGTTTTCATTTAAATATAATCAATCTTCTAGCGGGGGCGGATATAACCCACAAAATCTTTAATGGAAAGGGAGGTTGAGTGATACCTCATTCAACTACCTTTTCAGAAATACCACATACATTATATTTCTTTTCAGTACTTTTAAGTATAAAATGGTTTCCAATAAAACATAAACATTTAATGAAAAGTAACTTCCTTAAGTAAAAGTAAAGGTAAAGTAAGTTACTAAAGTAAATGTCCGAAATGTTGTCAATTATTTTGTAAACCGTGATGAACCCTCCTGCTCTCAAACTCATCTCTAACATTTTTAAAAACTTCTAACTGAAGTTCCCTACACGCAGCTGCTGTTCTTTCTTTAAATCTTCAAAATCTCGAGATAGTGTTTTATAGACAATAATTGACTAGGAATCCCCTTAGGAAGAAATCTAGAGATGCTACCTCGGGTGATCATGGTGGCCATTGTATTACTCATCTTCCACCAATCCATATGCCAGGAAATCTATCAATAACCACTGTCTAACTGTAACAAAGTAATGTGGTGGAGCTCCATCTTGTTAAAAGGGAATTAGATCGTCTTGCAAAATTATGTTACCAGCCGCATCAATTTGACTTTCCAAAGTAGTTATAAGTAGAGCTCACCAGTTAGATTTTCCTCAATGAATAAAGGTCCAAGAATAGTATTCCCAAGAATACCAGCCCAAACATTCTGTTTCTCGGAATACTGTGTTTTAACATCCCTAAAAAGTCGCGGATTTTCATCACTCCAGTAACGACAACATACACACATAAAAAATGTACACTCATGTAAAGCAAATATTTTGGTTTGCAATTTTTTAAATTTTGCCACTATAAAATTTGCCTTTTATAGGGGTGAAATTTATGTAACTTTAGTGCTTTTTCTACAGTTTCATGGGACGTTGCTACTTGGCGTGCCACATTGCGTATTGATGTGGAAGGTTTTGCAGTAAGTAAGGGTGCCAAATTCTACTGTGCTGCTTTATTGTGCATTTTGTTAGCAATCCAAGGTCAAGTGTTCAATACCTAATATCTTTACGATTTTATTTGATTTTTTCTAAAGTATTGAAAAGAAATATAATGTTTGTGGTATTGGAAAAGTCGTTGAACGACCTTTAAAATGAGGTATCATTCAAGCCCCTCTCCATTAAAGATTTTGGGGGTTGTGTTCGCCACCGCTGAAGGGTTGATGTAATTTAGTTGAAAACTGGTCTGCAGAATGTCCCCTCCACAAATAAATTTGAGGTGTTTTTGTATATTCATATATATGTCTATAGGGACCTTTTCAAATTGACAAACTGTATACAGATATGGAAAAAGTTCATCGTTAGTATTACAAAATTAACGAGAGATATAACCCGACAAGCGAGAGCTGGCGGGTTGCGCGTAAAAGAAATTGAAAAGTGTTCACCGTTTAAGTCATGTACATCGTGTACATCGTGTATAACCGTTTAAGTACCTATACTATATACCTATAATCGCGATTAAGTACCTCTCCTATCTCTCTTCGAATAATTTCTTTTCTATTTTCGAGCAGGTCACCCGCCAGCTCTCGCTTGTCGGATTATACTAACAGATATATTCAAATTGACACACGTATAGGGAAGAGCCTATACGTTTCACGAAGAGCTTACACTATCTACATATCGGAAACCACTTGCACGATATTATTTATGAACATTGGTTTATGGGGATTTTAAGTTCTGGCGAACTTAAACAACATATTTTGACACAACATATTTGCCATAACCGGAACAGCAACTTTGTTACTTTAAATATAACATCCTGTATATTATTGCATTGTTAGATTTTGCATACCATTCTAGACACAATTTGTCTAAGGTAAAATAGGTCAAAACTTCATATTTTTGGAGTTATTCATCTTTTTTAAAAAAATTTGACAGATAGAGACAAAGTTTTCAAAGTTAATACTCTACAAGAAGAAGAAGAGGTGTAGGATTTGTTATGAATACATATTTTTTAAGAATAATAGCCAATATTTAATAATAGTCTCTCATTTGTGGTTTTAATCTTGTATATAGTTTTATCATATGCGATTTGTGTACGAAATGAAGATAAACCCAGTTTATTATTTTTTTTTATTCTTAACTGAAATTTTATTCTTTATACTGAAAATGTCAGTTTATTATTTAGTTATGCCCTTATTGTGCACATTAGTCATAAAAATTAATATAACAAACTGTACGCCTACAAACATTATAAAAGTACTCATTGTCATATGATAGTAATTTTCCCTTTTAATACCAAAAAAAAGTGGAAATCAATTTAAAATTTGTTCAATATTTTAGGTCTGGGACGACGTTATAAGCAAAGCTAGCAAAAATGTCGACTTCCTGAAGGAGATTGAAATTGCCAAGCAATTGACAAGTATCCTGAAGACTAATGTTAGAGCGTGTAAAGCCTTAAATCACGCATATGTTCTTCAATTGGGCAGAATTTATTTAGATATGTTAAACGTTTATAAGGTAAGCGACGAATTTTTTATATTAAAAGTAGAAACGCACTTAAAAATATACATAGTTAATTCGCATTTTTAACATCTGCTGCTTTAATTAAAGTAAGCTTAAAGTTAAGTCTCTCCATCTGAATCATAGGTTATCGTGCATTCTATCATTATATAATATCGTATCGAAATTGTATATTTTGAAAATGCGAACGATGTATCAATAAATAGACGTATACATTCAGAGTATAGCTGATACCGTCTCTTGATACAAATATCAAAGTCTGTTACACTCTTTACTTGTCATTAGTGACCACTGAACCGTTTGCCATTCCCAGATCGTTGAACAACGCTAGCTTGACAACGAGGTAAAAGAAAAAATCAGTCAATCTTATGTTGAGTAATTTTTCTTTTATCCTACTCATCTAACGCAGAGTCCATTAGTATTCATGATCAGTAGTTCGATGAGGGGCTCACTTAAATATCCACAGCAACACAATAAAAAAACTACCACTGTAGAGTACCCGAAGACATCCAGCTCTCATTAGCCTTACCTAGTTTTTCGTAGCATAAGAATGGCCCAGTAAGAAACCAACAAAAACCGCGATTAAGCTCAGTAAAAAAAAAACGAAAAAGGACCAACGAGCATGAGCGGTGCTGCGAGGAAAATGTTTCCTTTTGACGTGAGGGTTCGATAGTACGCTTAAACATAGATGTAGAGTATATACACATAAAAGACCTTTTGTCTGGCAAAAACGGTCGATGTGGCCTCAACCGTCGATGAGGATTTACCTTAAATAATATTTTGACGTTTACAATTAACTTTCCTTAACTTCATCACTTTCTAAGCCTGTTAATTATCTTTAACAAATGCCTGTATCTGTGTCGTATTTTTTGAGATCACATCAGTTAGAGCTAGAACCCAATACAAACCGAGAGAAACGACGCCGGCATGTAAGCAATCTTTGCATTGTCTAAAGTGCTCTCGTTGATGGAGATCATCTCGTCTTGATGTACGTAATAAAAGAGGAGCAGACATCGCAAGTGACCATCATCTCGTAATCAGTACCATTACAATCAAGATGGCAAAAACAAAATCACGAGAAACACCAACAGACTAATATACAATCTAGACAAATTAAAAATGGCTCCAGGACTACACACGTTTAGGGAACTCACAACTCAAAACAAGAGAACGTGAATAGCTGGGAAGATTTGGCAGATGTTTTGACAGAAATAGCTAAAGATAAACTTGGTAAAAAAGAGAAACAGAAAAGAACGGATTCAGATGAAACTTGGAATCTTATCGAGGAAAGAAAACAGCAAAAGAAAGATATTTTGCAAGCAAGAACTGTAGAAGAAACAGCGAACCCACAACAAGAATATGATACAATAAATAAAGTAGTTAAAACAAATGCAAGAAGAGACAAAAGAAGGTGGGCTGAAGAACTGACAAAACAAGCTGAAACAGCTGCACAACACAACAGAACTCACCAAAGAGAGTTACCAAATTACTAGACGACTAACAAAAAATGGGCCCAACTGTTCAAACATTGTAAGATCCAAGACAGGCGAATTACTTACTGCAACGCATGACCAAGTAGAGAGATGGAAAGAGCATTTTCAGGAGATGCTAGGCACGCCCAGGGAAAACGCAGATGAAATTGTCGAAAACCCACAGAATGTAAACTTGCGTATATCTTGCAAGGCCCCTTCCAAAACGGAGATAATAACAGCTATCAAATCTCTGACAAATAACAAGTTTCCGGGAATCGATAATATTGCTGCCGAAATACTTAAAACTGCTCCGCATCTAACTGCTGAACTTTTGCTCCCCTTAATCTGAGGGGTGTGTGAAACAAACCTCATTCCAGCGGACTGGAAAAGGGATAACATTATTAAGCTTCTAAAAAAGGGCAACCTCATTCCAGCGGGATGGAAAAGGGATAACATTATTAAGCTCCTAAAATAGGGCAACCTCACATTGTGCAAAAATTGGAGAGGGAATAACCTTGCTTGTCGCAATAAATAAAATCTTCACGACCATCATACTTAAAAGATTAACCAACAAGATTGAATTTCGAGCTGGTAATAATGGAGCAATCGGTTGAGTGGAGCACACCCCTATACATGGTTTCTTTTTAACATAGCAGTAGACTATGTTCTCTACAAACTAGACTCCGATACAAGAGGGATACAATGGACGTTAACCACACGCCTAAGCGATCTGGAATACGCCGACGATATATGCGTGTTAGGACAAGGTTCCAAGGAGTGGCTGATTAATTGGAAACACTTTCTACTGAAGCCAATAAAGTAGATTTAAAAATCAATATTAGTAAAACCAAATCCATGAGAGTAACTGCAAGAAACAACACGCTATTTACTATCAACAACATGCAGATTGAAAGTGTGGAAAACTTTACGTATCCTGGAAGTGTCATAACAGAAAGCGGAGCTATAGAGGACTATATTGGTATGAGGATACGAAAAGCTCACCAAGCATTCAGCATGCGAGCAAACCCTATTTGGAGATCTAGCTAGTATACTACAAGAACAAAGATCCGCATATTCCAGTCAAATGTCATGTTCTACTCTACAGATGTGAAACCTGGAAAGGAAAAAAACCCTTACAGATAAACTGTAGCTCTTTAATAATAAATATATATGACGAATTGTTCGTATTTTCTGGCCTAACATCATCATCATAAAGATTTACTTTCGATCTAATTTATTTACTAAATTCTACTACACCTGACCGAACTAAAAAGGGTAGAACATCAAATAAAGTCCAGAAATATTGTTCTGAAGCTATTTTCTTGTGGCATTTTAAATTAATTACTATTTAACTGGGAATAAGCCACAATTAAAGATAAAAATACATTTATTGACGTTTCAATTTCCACTTCGGAAATTGTTCTCAAAATACAAACAGTAAATTAAACAAATTTTGTTTTTTGTTACATAGTGAAAAATTCTTCTAATAATTTAATTTTATCTGACTCATTTATATTGACAATTCAGACATACATTATGCATTTTAAAGTAGACGACTGTAAAATGATATAGAGGATACATCTAGGCCAGGGAAATAAGCAAAAAAAGTACCCTGTTTTTGACACTCGTCCGGCCAGGCAAACGACAGTTGTTTTGAGTAGTGTGGACCTCTGTAATAAAAACCTATATGTTTCCTGCAGTCTATTTTTTGGACTAAATTAGTTATTAACAAATTAAGTTCAAAAAACGGAAAATTTTTGCTTTTTTCGGCTATTACCAAAAAGTGAAGCAATTTAAACAAATTTTAGAAGAGAGGAAACTTATAAGTTATATAAAAACCTTCAAAATAGCGTTATCAAAATGTTTCTATCCTTATTTGTTGCTTACAAAGTTGCAAGTTAAGTCAAAAATTTCGGTTTTTTATAAATGTTAATAACTTTTCTGAAAATAAACTTATAATATTTATATTTCACAGAATGATGTGTCTTGTAGTGCTTAAAATAGGGTTAAAATTTCAAAGTGATCGGTCCAATAGTTTAAAAGTTATTTTATTTGTTTATCCCAAAATAACATTTTTTGCAACAATATAAGTCAGAAATTTATACGGTTTTAGAAATTGTAAGGGTTGTTTCTGGTAGAAGAAGACTTGTTTTATTATTTACATTAAAAAAATATTAAGAAAATTAATTTTAAATATTGCAAAATAATTTTGCAAAAACATGTCGATTTTTTGCTTATAAACAATTAGAATAACTTTTTAACCATTGACTGTAGAAATATTATTTTTACATATTTAAAAAGCTTGAATTTTTTCACAAATTTAAATAAAAAAAGTTTGTTCTAATATAATTTGGTACAAAGTTAGCCTCTTTTTTTATTTAATCCATAGCACCTTTGTTTATAACAATTAAGAAATCTAATTAGCGGTATTTGAAAGAATATACATTATAGTTTTATACTACTTAGTTTTAAAATTATTGCCCCTTAATGGAATCCTCCACAAAACTTCAAAATGTATGTAAAATCCGTCGGCTTTAAAACTCTCGGGAGCTGAAGGGAGGGGGAAGGCGCTGTTAACTGTATCTCTGTTCCTTTTTTATGTATTTCAACGTTTCTTTTTGAACTTGTATGTACTTTTTGCGTACATTACGAATATGCATTATTTTAATAAATAAATTGTCAAATAAACCACCTAATTCGTTTAAAAACAATTTTTTTTTTATTTTAGTAGTATTTAAGTTAAGTTTGAATGTAAAACAGAAGTACTTGTCATTTCCTATATTTTGGGAAATAAGCCACAATTTAAGTTTATAATAAGTTTATTTTTGATGTTTCGATTTCTACTTCGGAAATCTTTCTCAGAATGCAGAACATTAATAAATTAATCAAATTCTATTTTTGGTTACTTGGTAGAAAATTTTTCTGATAACTCTTTTGGGTGATTGATTAGTATGAGGAAACTCAGTAGATCTTTTATAGTAAAAATTACAAAAAAAAATATTGACAAAAATTGTAGACAGCTTTAAACTCCACATTTTAAAATTAGTTACAATCTTACAGGGTGTTCTATAAGATTGTGGCAGACCAAACTTATGTTTATTTAAATGAAACATCCTGTATTTTATTTTAAATTTGAAATCTGCTTCACTTCCACATCACAATAATGTAATGATTTATTATGTTATACCGGATATTTAAAAAGTTATAACCAATATTACCTGAAAATCGTATCAAGTTTAACTTCCTGTATCATTAAAAAGCAGTATAGGACCATTGATCTATTGCAACCCTAGTTTTTTAATAATTGTTAAAAATTGTAAAACATATTCGTTTTCATAATATTCGTTAATTCAAATACAGGGTAAGTCAAAATGCAAGTACATTACTTTCTTGATAATTTTAAATAGAACACCCTGTATTTTAAGTCACTATCGAAAAGTACTAATATCGTACTTTACATTTTATTGAATACTCCCTATACCTAAAGTTATCAATTTTCTAGATAAGTATTAATTTGATATATATTTGAACTTTTACCAATAATTATTGGGAGTTGGCCATGATTGATTTGACAGAAACTGACCGTTTGACAGTATTTTTTTTTAATTCAGTAACAAGATAACGACACAGAAAAGAAAACAATATGTTTCAAATAAAATTTATAAAAAATAACCGACAGAAAATAAAAAAAATAACACACAAAAAAATAACAAACAACTGTAATTTTAACTAATCATACTTAACTAAGGTGTTCAAAATGACCTCTTAAAACATCTATGCATACTTGAAAGCAGTCATTGAAAGAGTTACTTACATTACTAAGCATTTGTAAAGAAATATGTTGAAATGCAATTCGGATTCTATTTTTATATCCCTTGTTGTTGAAGGTATTTTATATACTTCGTTCTTAATGTAACCCCAAAAAAATGAGTCCACTTTATTGAATTCTGGTGACCTTGGGCCAGTCCTTAAGATCCATATTTCACCAAACTGACCATTAAGTTCACCACGTACTAATTCGTGGTGAACTACGATACTTCCCCACACATTTAAAGATTATCTTGTTTGACTATGTGTTACTATTTGGTATGGATTACTTGTTGAATAGTAGTGAAAGTTATTTATGCCTAATAACAGAACCATTTCAGTGGAATGCAGCTTCATCACCAAATAAGATATAATCAAAAAAAATCTCTGTTCATTAATTTTTTTTTCAAGGCCCATTCACAAAATACTATTCGTTTCTGTAAATCATCATCATTTCATTCTTGGTGCTTTTGAGTATGATATGCGTGCATCTTGTTTTTAGATAGAATGTTTTGAACAGAGTAGTAACTAAGTTTTTGCTTATTGGAAATACTCCTTATACTTGTGAGTGGGTTTTCTGTAACTGCCATTAACACACTCATTTCGTTTTCCTCTGTCACACTAGTTTTTTTTCGTTCATGTTTTTCATAATTCACTGATCCAGTGCGGTTAAATCGATCTTTCAATTTTTCAAATGTATCTTGTCTAGGTTGCCGCCTATCTGGAAACCGTTCATGATAAATTCTAGCTGATAGTAATGAATTTTTATTGCATTCCCCCAATATCCAGATCATATTTATCTATCATTTCCTCAGTAGTAAAATTCATTATTGCTAATTTAAATTGAATAAATTATTGAATTGCTAAATAATAATTGTTGCTAATTTACGATGTACCCCAATACTGAATTAATAAACAATAATGTCAAACTGTCAGTTTCTGACAAATCAATCATGGTCAACTCACAATAATTATTGGTAAAAGTTAAAATATCTTCAAAATTTATACTTTGATGGAAAAATAAAAATATCTAGAAAACTGATAACTTTATATATATATATATATATATATATATATATATATATATATATATATATATAAATATATATATATATAAATATATATATATATATATATATATATATATATATATATATATATAATGTTTTTAGTGATATAAAATACAGGGTGTTCTATTTAAAATTACCAAGAAAATAATGTACTTGCATTTTGACTTACCATGTATTTGATTTAACGAATATTATGAAAACGAATATGTTTTATAATTTTTAACAATTATTAAACAACTATGGTTGCAATAGATCAATGGACCTATACTCCTTTTTAATTATACAGGGAGTTAAACTTGATACGATTTTCAGGTAATATTGGTTATAACTTTTTAAATACCCGGTATAACATAATAAAACTTTACATTGTTGTGATGTGGAAGTGAAGCAGATTTCAAATTCAAAATAAAATACAGGGTGTTTCATTTAAAAAACATAAGTTTGGTCTGCCACCATCTTATAGGACACCCTGTAAGATTGTAACTAATTTTAAAATGTCGAGTTTAAAGCTGTCTACAAGTTTTGTTAATAACTTTTTTTGTTATTTTTACTAAAACAGATCTACTGAGCTTCCTCACCCTAATCAATCACCCAGAAGAGTTATCAGAAAAATTTTCCAACAAATTTTCTACCAAGTAACCAAAAACAAAATTTGATTAATTTATTAATGTTCTGTATTCTGAGAAAGATTTCCGAAGTAGAAATCGAAACGTCAAAAATAAACTTATTATAAACTTAAATTGTGGCTTATTCCTATATGGTCCCAAAATATAGGAAATGACAAGTACTTCTATTTTACATTCAAACTTAACTTAAATAGGTACTACTAAAAAAAATTTTAAAAAAATTGTTTTTAAACAAATTATGTGGTTTATTTGACAATTTATTTATTGAAATAATGCATATTCGTAATGTACGCAAAAAGTACATACAAGTTCAAAAAGAAACGTTGAAATACATAAAAAAGGAACAGAGATACAGTTAACAGCGCCTTCCCCCTCCCTTCAGCTCCCGAGAGTTTCAAAGCCGACAGATTTTACATACAGTTTGAAGCTTTGTGGAGGATTCAATTAAATGGCAATAATTTCAAAGTTTAGTAGTTTAAAACTATAATGTATATTCTTTCAAACAGGGCTAATTAGATTTCTTAATTGTTATAAATAAAGGTGCTATGGATTAAATAAAAAAATAGGCTAACTTTGTACCAAATTATTTTAGGACAAACTTTTTTTTATTTAAATTTGTGTAAAAATTCAAGCTTTTTAAATATGTAAAAGTAATATTTCTACGGTCAATGGTTAAAAAGTTATTCTAATTGTTTATAAGCAAAAAATCGACATGTTTTTGCAAAATTATTTTGCAATATTTAAAATTAATTTTCTTAATATTTTTTTAATGTAAATAATAAAACAAGTCTTCTTCTACCAGAAACAACCTTTACAATTTCAAAAACTGTATAAATTTCTGACTTATATTGTTGCAAAAAATGTTAATTTGGGATAAACAAATAAAATAACTTTTAAACTATTGGACCGATCACTTTGAAATTCTAACCTTATTTTAAGCACTACAAGACACATCATTCCATAAAATATAAATATTATAAGTTTATTTTCAGAAAAGTTATTAACATTTATAAAAAAACCGAAATTTTTGACTTATTTTGCAACTTTCTAAGCAACAAATAAGGATAGAAACATTTTGATAACGCCATTTTGAAGGTTTTTATATAACTTATAAGTTTCCTCTCTTCTAAAATTTGTTTAAATTGCTTCACTTTTTGCTGATAGACGAAAAAAGCAAAAATTTTCCGTTTTTTGACCCTAATTTGTTAATAACTAATTAAGTCCAAAAAATCGACTGCAGGAAACATATAGGTTTTTGTTACACAGATCCGTACTACTCAAAACAACTGTCGTTTGCCTGGCCGGACGAGTGTCATGAAAAAATGCTTATTTCCCTGGGCTAATCATTTATGTTTTTTAAATAACGGAACATATAAAATCAGAATTTTTGGTGTTTATTGAAGGTAAACTAAATGCACGAACAAATACTTACCATGTCGGGATATTATTATGAGGTTTTTTTCCTGGTTTTCCCTCATAATTTACTATCGAATCACTAACAGAAGAATTTTACTGTCATCATGTCATGTGTTTGTCTTTTTAAAGACGAGTTATATGCTATGATTTTTTCTGACGGATATTCTCAAGTTAAAGTTGATTTCATGTAATCGAATGAACTATCTTATAAGTAAAGTCGTCCCAGGAGCGCAACTCAACAATATTGTCAATATCATTTTACAGTCGTCTACTTTAAAATGCATAATGTATGTCTGAATTGTCAATATAAATGAGTCAGATAAAATTAAATTATTAGAAGAATTTTTCACTATGTAACAAAAAACAAAATTTGTTTAATTTACTGTTTGTATTTTAAGAACGATTTCCGAAGTGGAAATGGAAACGTCAATAAATGTATTTTTTAAACAGTAAATTAAACAAATTTTGTTTTTTTTCAAAAAAAAAAAACAAAAAATGTATTTTTATCTTTAATTGTGGCTTATTCCCAGTTAAATAGTAGGTAATTAATTTAAAATGCCACAAGAAAATAGCTTCAGAACAATATTTCAAGTTGGGTTGGATTGGTCAAACACTCAGAAAAATAATTCCGGAATTGCAAAGATTGTTCTAGAGTGGAATCCCCAAGGAAGAAGAAGAAGAGGTCGCCCAGTACAAACTTGGGGAAGATCCATCATGGACGAGATAAGGGGTCAAGAAAAGTCTTGGAATGATGTGAAGAAAGAGAAACCCGATGAACGAATGTGTTCTGGGTTCTCGTTTATTGTGCTTTGGAGTTGTTCATAGAAGGAGGTTGTTCTCAGGTGCATAGATTGCTAGTATATTGGAAGATTTAACTTTAGTTTAATTTTTCTCAAACTATTCTTTCAGGTACAATATTTACATGTGTTTCCGCTAATTTTGTGCTATTATCTATTGCTGATTATCTACTATGAACACCAATAAAGTTTGCATTTATAATACATAAATAATTTTATCGTATACAGGTTATGTCTGAAAACATAACGGCAGCTATTCAACTGAACGGCGAGGCCGTAATGAAGCAACCGTTGATAAAATCGATGAGGGCCGTGAAGAAAGAAACATTGAAATTAATCTCAGATTGGATATCTCGATCGACCGACAACACGATGGTACTCGACAGTTTCATTCCTCCATTCTTGGACGCTGTTTTGTTGGATTATCAGAGAACGCCTGTTCCGGTGGCGAGGGAACCGGAAGTGTTAAGTGCAATTGCGACGATTGTTAACAGGCTTGAGGGACACATCACAATGGAGGTGAGTAAATATACATATATAATACGTATTAAATTATTTTGAATTACCGTTTCATCTAAATTAAATGAATAAGAATCATTTTTGAGTTTTTTATTAATCCTTGAAAATTTTTGAAAAAAAAACACGTGGAGTCCAAAGTATCGTTTATTTCTGTAAAGTTGGTACTGATTCTACCTGTCGAAATACGACGGGCTTTCGCAAATTTTATTGGACGTTTATATGGGCTCTGCACTTAGTTTTCTTGTTGAGGTTTTAGCGGTCTGGGTAGCATTTTCTTGGTTATTTTGAAAATTATTAATGCAGACATTGTCAATGTTCACAAGTTTTCTGACTACTCTTTCATGTTCAACTTCTAGTAGCTTTGTTGATGTGATTTCACCAGTTGTGTTTTTTTTTTTATTTTATATTCTGGTTTTTCCATTAATTCTCTCCTTTTTCTGCCTATCTCTCCTATCATTAGTCTGTGTGTAAGGTGTCAAAAAGCTGATAAGTCACATTTTAAATAAATTTCATTTATTTTATTACATTTTGTATAACACTCAGTATACAGTATACAGTTTATTTTTTTGTAAGTATTTCTCAAGAAATTATTTTATGCCGTGGTAATAAAATGTCCGTTATACAACCTACCACCCATGTTTCGACTAACGTGCCCCTTGTGGCATTTGTTTGCAATTATTCAAATTTATCCCGCCCAGAACGTGGCACATGGTAAAAATATAACGGACATTTTATTAATACAGCATAAAATATTTTCCTGAGAAATACTTACGAAAAAATAAACTAGTCCGTTCGCTGTATCTTTGCACATCATTATCAAAGCGTTTAAATCAAACGTAACTCTTTTCTAGATTCATGAAATAATTAGGAAACGTTTAATATCCCGTTATACGTATTTATAGTGATTATTTTTTGTTTATTTATTGTACTGGATGTTAAAAACTCATTATAGAATTGTTTTTAACGTAATTTTGAGTTTTGTACATATTCAACGTTATTATGATTATTGGAAGAAATGCTCTATTTGAAATACTGTAGTCGAGAAAGATAGACCCAAGATGAAACAGCTTAAATTCTCATATTTATTTATTTATTTATACACCAAAGCATCCAACAGCCGAAGCCAGTTACTGGATGAAAAAAAAGTTTTCATTCAAAATACAATATTAAACATTTACATCCTATACATATGATATTCAATTTTTATGCTTAAGCATAAGAAAATGCCGTAAAAGATAAAAAACTCTTGTGCATGCTTTTCGAACTAAGTTACTAACACAAAAAAAAATTAATTAAACTTTACAAAATAAAACAATAAAAACAATGGAATAAGAAAATACATTAATTTGTAAAAAACTTAAAGGGTGTTACAAATTAGTGCTCAATGTGTTAGGCTAAAATAATACGACTTTCCTTATGTCGCATACCTAGAGACTTAGTGTTTATTTTTTATACTAGCTAGTTTTTATAATTTTTTTTTACTTGTGTATCGAACTTCTCTGTAGTTTCCAAAATAAAGTGTGGAAAGTTATGTGTAAAAGGTTTCATTGTTTTAGCCTAAAGACTGGATCAATTACTTTGTTACAACCTATTTCCACAAATATGACTAAATGACTAAATTATTAAAATAAATTGAAAAAAAAAAACAAAATATCAAAATTATATATTTCCTTCACTTTCAGAATCTGAGCTATCTCCAGGATTTATTATGATGGGTTGAATATCAATATCAACTATATTTTGCTCTCGGACATACCACTTTTGAATAATTTCATAAGATTTCATGACTATGTCTTACACATTTTTCCCAAATGTCTTCATTACATTGATTAAGCGCCTCTTTCCATATATTTATAACAGCACTATCAGAATAGCTGTCCCTACCAATAGGCTTATTGTAATATGACTTGCAATTTGCCCAAATTAATTCAATAGCGTTGAATTCACAATGATAAGGAAGTAGTCTCAACACTTCATGACCATGCTCTCTTAGTAACTCATCACTAACATACACATTTTCTTTTTTATTCATTTTTGCAACTTGTAATAATTCAGGTTTTGTAAATTTTGGGTCAAATTGGATGTTATTTGTTGTCAGCCAGGTAACAATTTCATCTTTCTTTGAAGCAGTGGTAGGTTGCTTTTCTATAAGAACACTATGATATGGAGCATTATCCATTACAATCAACGATGGTTCTTCTAAATTGGAAATTACTTGTGTTCTTATCCACTTAGTAAAAATGTCGTTGTTCATTTCTCCATGGTAATCGATATGTTTAGACTTAGATCAAAACAATAAACTTGCTTCAGAAACAAATCCTTTAGAAGAACCAGCGTGAACAATTATGAAACGTTTACCATCAAAACCTTCTGGTTTACGTACACTTTTGCTACTAGTGCCTTGCCAGGAAGTTGTTTTATTTCCTTTTGAATAAATCCATGTTTCATCAAAAAAAAACAAGTTCCCTTAGAAGCACAATTTCCAGGTCTTCAAAGTACTTATGAAAGAATTTTGCTCTAGTTAGAAATAAGAACTAGTTAGTAATAATAGTGAAACTTCATTTTAGAAGTGTTAATTTTGATGTGAAACAATAAACTGTTTGGCTGGGGTATAAACCAGATCGTTTTTATTTTGTACAATATAAACTTATACTTACTTTGTAGGTACATATTGTACACAGTGTTTCGTATTGCCATTTTAGTTCCTTCAGGCAGATCAGTTGTCTTGCTTTTACGACGATGTCTACCTTTGTCTGGACTTGAAAGGACAGGATTGCTTTCTTTTTGTTTTTTAATTGTACACACTGTACGCCGTGATATTTTCAAGGCAGCAGCTACCCTCTTAAATTAAAAACAATTTCATGATAGGTAAATTATTAAACAACATACAATTCATTACAATACCTCTTGAACACAAGCCAAAGGTGCCAATAAGGGTCCTCCGTTCCTTTTTTCCAACTCAAAATATTCATACAAATTCAGCACGAGTTGCTGGGATTGAGAATTTAATGTATTTCCAGGCATATTCTAAAAATAAAAACCTTGAAAAATATTCTGTTTGATATTTGTTTAATTTATGACAACAAATAATGTTTTATATCGATCCGTTAGACAGAGTTTTAGCCAGATTCAAAAATGATACGTCAAATTAAAGGTAAGAAAATTTAACTGCAAAATTTATACTTACATCAAGGAATCCAACACTAAGTGAACAGTTAGTCGTTATAACAACTCTTTTTGAGAAAATTTATAAACTCAAGGCACGAAAATGTAATGGAAAATTAAACAATATGAATATAATTTTTGTAAACACCACAACGCTGTGAAGTTGACAATAAGCAGGTTCAATGATGAGAATTTATCACAGACTGTTGTTATATTACTGTCTTTGTCTGATGTATTATTAAATGTTGGACAAGCGGCTTAATTTCAACATTTTATATTCTGTGAGTAGAAATGAGACAAAATTTAAAAATAGTTCGTGAATAATTTCATACATGTGCAAAGATACAGCGAACGAACTGTATATACTGAGTGTTATACAAAATTTAGTAAAATAAATGACATTTATAGAAAATGTGACGTATCAGCGTTTCGACACGTTACATTTGTTGTTCCTATTTTCTCTAGTTGGATTTTATTCTCTGTTTTTATATTTGTTATAAGTTGATAGTAATACTTGTCAGCATTGATGCAAGTGTTACCAAGTTGAAATATTACAAAAATTGTCAATGTTCACATTAATTCGCACAATAATGTATACTCCATTTCACGAATATACGACTGTTTTAAATTCGCTTTAAGGTGTCGATTTAAATGGTCCAATGTACTGAATTGTACAATAGTAAATTCTCCCCATTTTTAAAATGCTGTTACGAAACCTAAGATTTAAATAATAAGTCATGATATAAATTTAAAGTTAATAGTTTATAGAAGAGTTGTAATTCAGATTTTGAAGTATATAATTACTATCATGGAGTTTAGTATTGTAAACAAGTTGGTTTTTGAATTATGTGATTTAAACTAAATGTAACAATACTTAAGTAATCAAATAGTGTAATTTATTTAGTCGAATATTCAATTAGTATTAAAAAAACAAAAAAACTTACTTCACTTATTCTCTTAATCTTCTAAAACTATCATCAACGATCAAATTCACAGCCATAATCAGTCGGCGATATATGAAACTGTATATAAATTTTCGTTACATTTTAATATCTGTAACGACTCGGTACTTTAACTATCAATAGCCGGTATGTTATACCAGATACTTTCGGAACTTTTAAGAGTACATAAACTCAAAGCAAACAAATATTTAAAACTAACAAAGTGAAATATCTGATCCTTTTTCTGGTTTCTGAACCATCGTTCTGCCAATTTCTTTTCATTTATATTAAAAATAGTATATTTCTTTTTATTACAGTTGTAATACCTAATAAAGTAATAAAATAGTGCAATATCAATGAAACCCGGCACGCCTCTATGGTGTTTACATTTCACGGAAAGCTTAACCAAATGTCTCAGGAACACATTTGGCTTCATAGACGTCATTGTATTTATTTGTAGATTTTAACTGACATAATTTTAGTTGAGATGTCATACTAGTAGACCCTTTTTATTGGAATAATGATTGTACCAATTTACCTTCATACTCCTACTTGCACAGTAAAATATTCGTTGTCGCAGTAAACCAAAACAGTCGTATATTCGTGGAATAACCTATACCCGTTTTGCTACATTCCACATTGTATTTCTAAAGTTTCCCGCCTTTTTTTTTCATGTTCAACTTATCGTAGCCTTCTTTATGTTCTTTATATCCTGGTTTTTTTGACTAATTCTCCTATTTGTCTGTTTATCTCTTATATTATTTTTTATGTTGTATTCCAAGTTGGGTTTTATTATTTATTTATCTGTTGATTATGATTTGTTTATTATTTGGTATTTTATGTTATTCCATTAGCAATTGGAATAACATAAAATATCAAAGAGTGGCCTGTTTC